GACTCCGCTCCTCCGCACCCCGCGCCGCCCCCGCGGCCGACGCCCTTTCGGGCGGGACACCCAGAGACCGCCCCCGGCCCCTTAGCGCTCCCCGCCTCGTCCTTCCCCACGCAAGACGTGAACTTCCCTGTGTGAAAACGGCATGTGTGCAGGAATTCAGGGGGAAAGAGTTTGTAGGACTACCGCGGGTGGGAGATTGTTAATGCTTCCCGTGGATTCCAGGTGGCCGCCAGAATAAATATGCTGAAAGTACAATGCTCTAAATAAGACGTGCCGCCGCTTGCCGTCGTCTCCGACCCAGGCGATCACTCCGGGAACCCCCGTGACCCAGTATCTCTAGAGTTGGGCCGCCAGAGCGTGCAGCTCGCAGCCTAGTCCCTCCCCAGGCGCCACTCCCTGCGCAAGTGGGGGACCTTGTGATGCTCACCAGGCCCCATTCCCTGCGCAAGTGGGGGACCTTGTGATGCTCACCGGCATTCGTTCACTCACTCATCTGTGCCTGTTCACTTCCTTTGCTCAGTAGCTCCTCTGTGCCAGACATAAGTCTCTGGTGATACCGCGGAGACAACCTGCCCTAGCCCTGCCCTCCTAGAACTCAGAGTCAGAGTCCAGTGGGAAGGAAGGGATAAATGGTGACATCCTCACGCAGGGCCTGGGTGCCAGGAACCCTCCTGTGCGCACATCCATAGACCAGGGCACACGGGACCCTCCCCCAGCCTGGGAAAAGACCTACTGAAGAGCCCTTACGTTCACTGAGCAGGAACAGGCCAGCCTGAGAACTGCTCTGGGGATCTGGGGAGCAGCCCAACTTTGGCTAGGAAAGCGGGATCGTGGAGCTGAGCCCTGATCCCTGCAAGGGGGTCCTAGGCAGTGAAAACAATGGGAACCAGAGTGACGGAACAGAGGGCCAGTGAGCTCAGCCACTGCCAGCCTGTGCGGTCCATGACTCCAGTGATCCTGCCTCAGCTGAGAAAACCAGGCTAGGCAGGGTGGGCAGCTGGCCCAGGGTCACATCCTGACGCAGTAGGGCTGTCCAAAGCCCCTGGCGTCTTCATCTTCGGTATAGCTGCCCATCCTCTGGCTTGACCACACAGACTCCTGGAGGAACAAGCTCCTCCCCCTAAGCCCTGTTCCCTCACCACCAGCCTGAAAATCCCCAGCAGGGGCATCCTCTTCCTAAGAGCTGGGGGCGCCATCCTTGCCTGACACCGGCCCCCGTGTCCCCAGAGCCAGAGGCAGGCTCCATAGGATTCTGGCCCACAACTAGGGGAAGGAGGGCTGAACCTCAGTAGCCGGGCCTCACTGGCCACCCTCCTTGTGGGCGTGTGGCCTTGGAGCTGACCCCTGGAGTCTGCACCCAGTCTGACAGTCTCCCCTCACACTCTCCTCTCACCTGGCTGGTAGACAGAAGGCCGAATGCTGGCAGTGGTGACAACCCGAGGCTTGGGCGCGGGCGCAGGCGCAGCTGGGGCTTCGGTGTATGTATGGACAGCGGGTGCTGGAGACGTCGCCTTGGCGGTACTGTGAGCAGAGGCCTGGGGCCTGGAACCAAGGGGGAAGAGTTAGCAACCAGAAGGACAGCCCCACCCAGGCCTTGGCGCTTGCAGCCACAGCAGGTGGGCTCTCCAATCCTCAGGAGCCTCTGTAAAGAGGAAACCTGACAGAGATGGTCCTGGACAGCTGCCAAAGGCTGTGAAGGGAAGACCATGAGGTCCTAGAGGGAAGGAAGCTGCTCCTTGGGTGCTGAGTCTTGGTGAGTATAGTTAAAGCAGCTGAGACACCTCGAGATATAGCTCATTGGTGGTGTCACCTTGGAGAGAGGGAGGAAAGCCACCAGCTGGACAGGAGGAGGCACACCCCGTGGGGAGAGGCCACCAGCGGAGGTCTGGGGCTGGAGGGCACCCAGGCAGGAGAGAGGAGGGAGATGGGGGTAGTTAGAACTGCCCTTTTCCCTCAACCTTCTGACCTTGGGGGCACTTCACAGCCTTAGACCACCTGGCCTCCTCCACCTCCCCCTTTCTATTGTTGCTGGGGGGAGCAGTGAACTCTCAGGTTTCTGGGCAAGAGTGCTCCAGGGAGGGCTCATGGGAAGCTAGGAGACCCCCTCACCCCCAAATGCACTTCTCTTTCATACAGAATTCTTGCCCTCACCTCGCTGGGTTAGCCGCCCAGAGGCTTGGAGCAGCCTTTTTCTACTTGTGACCCAGGGATCATGGGACCAAAGAGATGAGAAAAAGTGTCCCAGTTTATTGCCCTCAGGAAATGCTGCATTTGGCCTCTCTTCTTGGGGAGCCAAAGGCTCCAGGATTCCTGGAGTTAAGCAACTCATTTTACTTTGTCTGGCCCAGTGCTTCCGAATTTCATTTGCCTGTGAACCCTGCCCCTCTTTCTTTTTTCATTTAAAACTGATGAACACCTTACAGAATATGTTCCTTGTCTCTCCCTACATCTTCCAGATACCAACAGGGACCATGTAACCACACCCAGTGGAAATGGGGTGCTAGAGAAGTGAGCTCCTGGAAATGAGCCCCTCACCAGTCCACTGCTTCATGCCTTCCTCCCACCTGTTCTGAATGGGACCAGGGCCTGCGCATCATGCTGTGCAGAGTCATAGGCTAAGGGACTCCCTTCCTTTCTCGTGCTCTGAAAGGTGGTGGCCCTGAGCTAAGAACCCACTGCAGAGCTCCTGAGCAGTTCTGCCCCAGACAGTGCAGAGGCAGAACCAGCCCCAGACAGCTGTCATCCTAGACCTGGGGGTGTGCAGACTTGCCCTGCCACATGGCCATGTTTCTGGTTGAGTAAAGCCATTGTCTCCCCTCCCTGGGCTGCCTGCCCTTCTCTGACCAACCTGTTAAGACCAGTGGAGCAGGGGCCTCAATGGAAGAGGAGGAGGCAGTTCCCATGGGGTGCCCTGCCTCCACTGTGGTGGGAGAAGGCCAAGTCAGTGGGTCTTAGCCAGACTTTCTCACCAGTGGAGGATGCTCACACAGCATCCCAGGAGCTATGGTTCTGTGTCAGGGGTTGCTGTTGGGGGAGAAAGCCAAGCCTTAAGGTATCCAGCAAGAGTTCTGAGGCCATGCTCCAGTGAAAGTTTGGGTGGCCATTTGCCTCCCACTCACTCCCTCTATCTCCATCCAGCCCTGTGCAAGAAGGGAAGGTAGCCCGGCCGGGCGTGGCTCAGCGGTTGAGCATCGACCTAGGATCCAGGCGATCGGGGTTCGATTCCCGGTCAGGGCACGTGCCCAGGTTGTGGGCTCGATCAATGACTCTCTCATCATTGATGTTTCTATCTCTGTTTCTCCCTCTCCTTTCCTCTCTCTGAAATCAATAAAGATATATTTTAAAAAAAAAAGAAGAAGAAGAAGGGAAGGTAGCTGGGCCCAGAGTGTGGTCTCCTGACCCCCTCTGCTCCAGCCCAATGCTGGGAGCACTCCGGGTCCCTCTCAACCTCCACCCAGGCGTCATCTGTCTCTGCAAGACAAGTGAAGGAAGGTTTGCCCTATTGAGGGAGTCCAGAGAGCCCTGGGACACAGAGTCCTGGAACGTGCTGAAGCCTGCCCTTGAGCAGGGCCGCAGCACCTAGAGCTCCTGATCCAAACTGGGGAGGCATCTTCCCGCTCAGCAACAGGGGCATTTCTTACCCTCCTCTAATTTCTTTGTGCCCATACCTGAAGCATTTCTGGTGTGCAGAGGGCAAGTACTTGCTGAGCCCTCAGGAAGCTGGGTTATAGCAACCCCTGGAGGCCCAGGTGAGCTCACCCTTGAGGTTTGAGTTGGGCTGGGGAAAGGCTGGGCTCCGCACTCTCTGGGTCATTGTACAGCCCCAGGGGTAGGGGTACAGCCCACAAGCCTGTGGGCCACTTTCCCACCCTCCGTCCTTCTCAGGCTGCATCAGGCACCTCGGCACCCAGGCTCAGAGAGGCATGTCCTTTCCACAAAACCTGGAGTGAGAGGAGCATGGGAGACTGAGAGCGCTGCTGAGATCCTAGCACCAAGTTGACAGCTCCATGCAACCCATACCAGCTGGGTCTGCGTGGGTTGCTATACCCCCTGGCTGTGCCAGCCCGCCTGCCAGCCTGCCCCCACCTCCCTGCACTTCCCCATGCCCTCTCACACCCCAGCCCCCACCTTTGCTGGGTGTCCAAGAAGGCAGGTTGGAAAGCAGTAAGTTGCAATACTTGAGACCATTTTAAGTGCTAGGTGGTTTACGTACACTCTTTCTGCCCCAACCCTGTAAAATCGACGTTGCACTAAACATCTTAGCAGACGAGGAAACTGATGTCTAGCAGACGAGGAAACTGATGTCAGAGAAGCTCAGTCCCTTTCTGAAGATTACANGAAGGGAAGGTAGCTGGGCCCAGAGTGTGGTCTCCTGACCCCCTCTGCTCCAGCCCAATGCTGGGAGCACTCCGGGTCCCTCTCAACCTCCACCCAGGCGTCATCTGTCTCTGCAAGACAAGTGAAGGAAGGTTTGCCCTATTGAGGGAGTCCAGAGAGCCCTGGGACACAGAGTCCTGGAACGTGCTGAAGCCTGCCCTTGAGCAGGGCCGCAGCACCTAGAGCTCCTGATCCAAACTGGGGAGGCATCTTCCCGCTCAGCAACAGGGGCATTTCTTACCCTCCTCTAATTTCTTTGTGCCCATACCTGAAGCATTTCTGGTGTGCAGAGGGCAAGTACTTGCTGAGCCCTCAGGAAGCTGGGTTATAGCAACCCCTGGAGGCCCAGGTGAGCTCACCCTTGAGGTTTGAGTTGGGCTGGGGAAAGGCTGGGCTCCGCACTCTCTGGGTCATTGTACAGCCCCAGGGGTAGGGGTACAGCCCACAAGCCTGTGGGCCACTTTCCCACCCTCCGTCCTTCTCAGGCTGCATCAGGCACCTCGGCACCCAGGCTCAGAGAGGCATGTCCTTTCCACAAAACCTGGAGTGAGAGGAGCATGGGAGACTGAGAGCGCTGCTGAGATCCTAGCACCAAGTTGACAGCTCCATGCAACCCATACCAGCTGGGTCTGCGTGGGTTGCTATACCCCCTGGCTGTGCCAGCCCGCCTGCCAGCCTGCCCCCACCTCCCTGCACTTCCCCATGCCCTCTCACACCCCAGCCCCCACCTTTGCTGGGTGTCCAAGAAGGCAGGTTGGAAAGCAGTAAGTTGCAATACTTGAGACCATTTTAAGTGCTAGGTGGTTTACGTACACTCTTTCTGCCCCAACCCTGTAAAATCGACGTTGCACTAAACATCTTAGCAGACGAGGAAACTGATGTCTAGCAGACGAGGAAACTGATGTCAGAGAAGCTCAGTCCCTTTCTGAAGATTACAGACAGTACGTGGTGGAGCAGAGCTTTGGGTCGCCCAGAGCAGGTGCCTCTGCAGTCAGCATGCTCTTCCATGGAGAGAACATAGGCTAAGGGGCAAGGGCAGGCCATTGTTGAATACCTGGCCTGCCTTCTGAGCAGGGCAGAGCTCCTCCCTCCACAGAGCCTCCTCAGCTCCCCAGCCCAGGTGACAACTTTCATTCTGCCTAATCCCAGTTCCAGAAACACTTCGCAGTCTCCCTTAGCCGCCTCACTGTGTGTGTGTGCGTGTGTATGTCTGTGTGTGTGTGTGTGTCTGTGTGTGTGTCTGTGTGTGTCTGTGTGTCTGTGTGTGTCTGTGTGTGTGTGTGTCTGTGTGTCTGTGTGTGTGTCTGTGTGTCTGTGTGTGTCTGCGTGTCTGTGTGTGTGTCTGTGTGTGTGTGTCTGTGTGTGTGTCTGTGTGTGTGTCTGTGTGTGTG